CCCCAAAACCCCAAAACCCCAAAACCCCAAAACCCCTGAACGCTATATAACAAGCAATTTAATGATAATTTAAATTTAAATTCAAAATGTCTAAAATTTTAAGTGCATCTAACTCTGCATCAAGACTCTAAAATATCACTAATTAGTATAGAAATACAGTTCAGTCAAACAATAGCAGTAGTTAAAAGCCTCAGAACATGGAATTTTAACCTTAAACCAAGAGATAGCTATTCCTAAAGAACTTCCTAAATGATAAGGAAAATGAATTTAATGGCAATTCCTCTGGAATGACCTCTAGTAGAACAAATAACTCAAATATGATAACTCCATCCAATTATAACAATAATATTGATGTCAGAAGAAGAGAGTCCTAAAAGAATACTGATATTGCAACTGCTAATAAAAACATAACTGGAGCTCACCTGAGGTCACCCTCTGATGGCAAATTCATCTTTACTTAAACTAAAGTTGACTCAACCAATCTACAGCTACTATCTTCTAAATTTATGTCTAGTCACATCGAAGATAACTCACAATTCACTGAGACTTGCTAGATGGATGCTACCAATCTAAAGTTAGGTGATATAGGGAAGTTGGGGAGTGTAGTCTCAGGTTATTCTGATAATGAAATAGAAAACGTTCTAATTGGGTCAATAAGACCAAGTAAGTAAGAGTAAATTAAGCAGCAGGAGTTGAAAGAAGAAATGCTGAATAAGCAAATTTAAGATCCATTTTATTGCAAAAGAATTGAATGCTTGGAAAGGGAAAACATTATTATGGAGCAATAAGAGAAGCTTCAGTAAATGGAAGAAGTTATTAACAGTCTACAGCTGAAGCTAATGAATAAGAAGGGGAAGATAGCAATGCTTAAATTAGAAAAATCTCTATTGAAGAAAAGAGAATAGCAAATGGATATTCTTCATGACAGTGATAACTTTTAATCTAATGGGTAAAAAGATAAGAAGACCAAAGGCAGGTTGATAAGGAATAATAGTAAGACTAAGACAAATTTAAACTCCAATACTTGCTCATTCTAAGATCTGAATAGTCAGAAAAATAACTCAATCATTGGTGGATCATACGACTCTTAAGTAAACGAATAAAATGATAACAGATAAGGGGATAATCATCCTTATTTAGATGAAAATAATGATATCAATTTTGAAACTTATGAAAAGAGAGACAGGTAGAGCTTATACAAAAAGATGAGAATCAGGACTGATAATCATCACAGCATAGATGAAAGTTAAAATTTGTCCAGATTCGGAGGAGGAAGTCCTATCTAAAAAGATAGCATCAATAATTTGAAACTAAGCAAGCCTGGCATACCATTAGGACCTTAGAAGAGTATTATAAGCAATCCACTGCTAACTTCTAGAAATATGCATCAACCTTAGCTTTCTTAATAATTGAACAGCCAAAATTAACAAAACTCTGCGAGAGGCAGTGGCTCAGAAGTAAGATAATCTTAATAGATGAATCTAAATGACTAATTTAAGGTCTTGTAAGGGGCGAGACAATCCTCTCAGAATAGAGATTCAGTTTAGAATACAGTGAGAAATTCAAAGAATAACTTTAATCCCTAGTATTATGGGATGTGGGATCAGGTAAATGCCGAGCAGTTTGATGATAACTGCAGTTCAATAATAGAAATGGATTCTCCCACTAGAGGGGCTGGGAATGTTTACAACTCTTAAGGATTTAATCCTATGCTTAGATCATCTTAGAATCATAATTTCTTCTAAAACACTTAATTTAACATGGCAAACGGAAGTCATTATCAGTAATAGCAAAATCAGGGTGGTGATTTAAATACTGTATACTTTGAGGATGTTGAAGTATTTGATGAGTTTGAAAAAAGATTCAAGGACTTCTTAAAATCAACACCTTACATTGAGCAGATTCTTCAGACCTCTAAAGAGTACAGAATGATAATAGAATCACTAAACATATTAGCTGTAAGTTAAGTCTATTTAATAATTTTCTTTAGAGATTTAATGATGAGTTGAAGAGAATATGCACAATGACGGCATAACTTGCTGAAGAAGGCAAGAAACTTTTCATCTCCAAATAAAAGGGGCAGCAGATCATTTAGAAAAATAGAGAGTTAAGAGTATAAATAAAGAGTCTTTTGAAAGATCAGATTGCTCCGCCCAGTATAACTAGCAGCATCAGTGGCCCTCTTAAAGGTGTAGATAAAAACAATAATACTAAAAGAGAGCTGATTAAGCAGAGAAACTATTTGATGCAGGAAAACGATAGTCTAACCTTCAAATTCAAAAAGCTCTTTTTGTTCTGAGTATAATTTTCACTTAAAAAAGGATAGACATTATATCAGTTGGGAATGGTAGTTGGCTTATAAAATGAAGTAATTATTCTTAGTTAATATTTCGAGAATCAGTTAATATAATGTTATAAAGCATAAAAATATACATATAAATCTGCTAATCATTACATCCTTTCATATATTAACGCTAATTAAAGCATTGCATTCTTTAACTTGTTTTATCAGTTTCCTTGATCATTAATTTTGTTGTTCTGTTCATTTTGCACACTGTCCAGCGCCTAATCATAGTTCAAAGCTTCAATAAGACTCACAACTAAATCATCAATTGTAGTAATAAAAGTTTCGCAATCAAAGAACTCAGTTTTCAGAGCATTCATTTCGAAGAAAATAATGAGACAATGTTCATTTGAAATTTCATATAGTATGACTACGCTTTGTTCTCCTTTGAGAAATACTTCTTTGCTACTGTCAAAGCCCATTTCCTTTGCGATTTTCCTCTATGCTATCTTAAATGAAACTACCCGTTCAAGTACCTTTTCTACTCTCTCTTTTATTTGAGAGACGGATGACTAATTCTAAGAGTTTTAGGATCCATTCTTGACTTATGATGAAATGCCTGCCAAGTGATTATATTGATACTATACTATCGAAGCCTTATTATTGCTTGCAATTTGCATTACTGCTATGAAAGAAATAGCTTTATGAGAGTTCTTAATATTTCCAATTGCCTTATCGATCTGATGAAGACATTCTTAAGAGTATCCTACAGTAGAATAGCAGCAACTAAAGAAATTCATTTTAGTTAATATTCACTAATATTGTAAATTAACTATTTAAAATATTTGCAATTTATAAAAGCTTATTATATTATATTAAGAGAAAATTGGTATTTAACTCACTGTCATTGATTAAGATTCCTTCCGTTCATGTAGGAGTTGCAATATTCATACAAAGTCTTTTCTCACTAGATTTTTCTTGGGGATTATGGTTGGACTTGTTGATCTGTTCCTTAAAACATTCATATTATTCTTCAAAGATATTTGAGCTCCTAGCTTCAATTAGTTTCCATCATTTATTATAATGCCATTCATGTCCAATGGAGAGCCACCTAACTCTTCAATGTAGCCCTGAGTATGTAAAACATTCTATTCTCGACCTAATTGCTTTTAATAAGCATGAAGCCCTCTTGCGTGGTTGAAATTAATGATCTTATTCGGGGCACTCATTTTATTAGGAGCTATTTCTGTTGAAGAAATATCTGGAAGTGATATATTATCAGTTCCAGTTGGATTCGATACGGACATATTAAGATTTGGAGCACTTTTACCAAGAATACTATTATTCACATACTTTGGCTGATCCTTTCTTGTCATTTGAGATAGCTGGGATTATTTAAGTAAGGAAAATTGAGGTATTACTTATTCATTAGGATTAAATTGTGCAATATTAATAAACTGATCATTTGAAGGTTTTCTTTATTGCTAAGTAGCATTTTTATTTTTAATCAGATAGTTGTTCCCACTGTTTGAAAGAGTGATTTCTGTATCAAATAATTCTTGCTTTTATGTGGGACTTTAGCCAATCGAAGAAATATCTCTAGTCAATGACAATACTTTGGTAGAAATGTCTAATTCTATTTGTTAAATGTACTCTTTTTCAAGCAATGACATTTTATCCAGAATTTAGCTGACCTTCGAAGAGTAATCAATGTCATCGAATCCTAGAAATTCTGTCACTTAATCTTCTAAAAACTAAAGTTTTGATATGCTGTTTATCTCTTCATTATCATCCATTACACAAAAAACTTGATACTGATATGTCTCAGTCTATTTCTCTTGATATTCAACTAACTTCATCATCTCCTTCATTACAAACTCACTTTTTATTAAATGAAAATTCCCCAGTCTTCGGTTTCTCTCTACTTCTATTTTTTGCTTAAAAATCTCCTTTTTCAAGAATTCAATCTCTCTAGTAAGTATCTTGTTTTCATTCGCACTATCTGTAAATTACTTCGACCCTTCATTGATGCTTGTCTAAATCTAATTAACATCTTTCCCTAGCATCTCACCTAAAGTTATCAATACCTCTCTTGTAGTTTAATCTATAGACTTATAATCCATTTGCATCAATCTGACCATCAGAGGCCATAGTTTATTAAGAATCTTTAAAATTTACTCTGTTTCTTTCTTTTATTTAGAGATTCGCTCTATAATACTATTCTCACTTTCGCGCATCAAAGTTATCAACTTTGAATTCTCCTTTTTATAATACTTTATCTTTTCAAGTAAATTTTTCTCTCTTTCGTTGACTTCACTTGATCTCAGAGTAGAAAGGTTATCTATCGAAACATTCATTTAAGCATTTTCAGAATGCTAAAGGTTGCTAATTTGCAATTAAGAGGAAGAACTTAGTTATGTATTTGCCTGTAAATTTTAATTAAGATGATGTTGATGCTAATGATATAACTACTGTTGAACTGCTTGATGCTGATTCCCTATCTAATTTATGATGGGTCCAATAGATTTAGATTGAGATGCTCTATTGGAATTCAACTTACTCTTATTCTGTTACTGTTGCTAAATCTATTGCATAGTTTGTGACAATGAATATTTCTTATTTGTTGTGCTCCCATTAGCGCCACCTGATTTATTTGTGTTATTTGCAGACCCATTAGGTGAACTCTAATTTTGAATAAAACTACCCGCTATACTATGATTCGTTGTTGAAATGACTTAAGTTTACTAAAGTTAGGACGCTTTATTTAATACTTATTAAGGATTCAAGAGAAATTATTGCTTATCAGGAGTTAATGATCTGACATTTCTCAATTTTTCTAAAGTTTATAGAGTTGATTTGCTTAATGAGGATTGCTGCTACTGCTATTAATTGTTAATATTCCCTCCTCCTGGGTTATAGTTGTTGTTATTAATAGTATTATTGTAATTTTTCAACAAAGAATCTTTGTGATAGTGCCCTCCTGCATTATTATTTAGATACCTCGACTGCTTCTAACCGTTTGAATTTTGAGACTATTGTTAGTTATGCAATGTCTAATTTATCTGCATTTTATGTTTTATATTTGCTTTTTAAGTATTTTATAAAATTCAAATACAATCATAGCCTCGTGGGGTTTTGGGGTTTTGGGG